CAAGACTAACATCTTGCCATCCTTCAAATTTACTGCCCTCCAAGGACAAGGTCCTTTAGAGAACAGTGCATCTGCTTAACTTATGCTGATGAAGTTACCTTATAAATGTCAGAGGTATTAGTCAAGGTTAAAATGAACGTATTTTTATTTTTTCCTGAACAGTTATATGAGACAAGTATGTGAGAATCATCCACCAAACATGAGAGCCTTGAAGATCAGAAATTCACAAGAGAACAGAACATCCTAAACAACCAGATAAACTAATCTGTTCTAGAATAACTCGCTGCTACAAAGTCCAGTGCTACATGAGAGCACTTTATCTGAAATAGCTGACATGGAAAAACAAGAGGAAAAAACGTCTGCTGAACAATAGTCAAACTAAGAGACTGGGGTCTAGCTAAATATGCAGTCAGTACTACCATATTTTTAGAAATACAGAAACTAAGTGCATTCTTTGCACCTGTATGTAGATCATTAGGGCCAACCTATAAAATACAGTTCAGTTTATAGGTTATTTATCACATTTTGGTTGTTTGYAATTAGGTTCAATGAGCATTGGAAGATGTTAGAGCTACTGGTCTGACCATTTCCTTAGTGAAAGAATAAAGCTAATCAAAGTATTTTCTTCCATTCCTCCCCACAGTCACCAGATTGAATTTTTCTTTTTTAATATGCTTGAACCATGTCAAATGCTAGATATGGACAGTTCACTCTTGAAATCTTGGCAGAGTAAAAAAAAGTTCTTATGCCTTGTCTACCTACAAAAATGAATTGTTCGTAGCTATGTCAGTAAAAACAGAAATAGTGCTGTAACTATAATCACAATCAGGACTTACAGCATGGCCAGGAATTTACTAGGCTTGAAAACAGAAAATTAAAACAGAAGCAAAGATGAAGATATTATAATTATAGCTCTGTAGTTATAACTCTACACTTCAAATTCATAAACAGTTACAAGTAAAGCTTCAAGAACAGGAAAAAAAAAAAAAAATCAAATTCTGACCAGCTGGTAGGTCAGAACCTCTCATGAATGATGATAAAACAAAGCGCCCAAGGCATCATACATTATTTAGAGAAATTCACCAAGTATTTTCATTCCAAGCCAATTTGAACAATACAATCATACTGTGTATCAGTGACTAAACTTTTTAAATGACTGTATAGACAAATAATGGAATTTGAACAAAAAATTGTCTTTACAAGCACGAGCAGATGAAATGGCTACTGGAAAGAGAGCTAGTAAACAGAAATTAAGCCAGCATATATTCACAAACATCCTGTACAATGTGAAACAGCCAGCGTAAATTAATGTCAGCTTTGTTTTAAGGCTTTAATTAGCATGAAAACTTCGAGTGATCATTTCTGGCAGATGGTGTGTTTCAACACTTCCTAGGGGTAGGCTCAGCAGAGGGAAGATAGTGATTTAATGCAAATGTGCAACCACACAGTTTCTCCCAAAATATCCAAAATTCTGTTCTACAGAGTACTATACTACACATATAGGSCAAAACCAAAATCAACTCATTTTTCTTTCTTTCAAATATTAAACTTCTCATACATGTACTTTTAGCAGTCAAAAAAGTACATGTGTGAGAGTAGATTGGAGTGAGTCTAGACAACAACGGAGCTGGGGAAGGGTCTGGAGGGTGAGTCCTGTGAAGAGCAGCTGAGGGAGCTGGGGGTGTTAAGCCCAGAGAAAAGGAGGCTCAGGGGAGACCTTATTACTCTCTACCACTGCCTGAGAGGAAATTACAGCGATGTGGAGGTCAGTCTCTTCTCCCAGGCAATCAGTGACAGGACAACAGGGCATGGCCTCAAGCTGTGMCAGGCRRGGTTCAGGTTGGACATCAAGAAGAATTTCTTCACTGAAATGGTGGTTAAACACTGGAATGGGCTATCCAGAGAGGTGGTGGTGGAATCATCATTACTGGGAGTATTCAAGGAACAACTGGATGTGGCASTTGGTGCCATGGTCTAGTTGACAAGGTGGTTAGTCAAAGGCAGGACTTGKTGATTYTGGAGATCTTTTCCAACCTTAATTTTATGATTTTATTCAATACCAGTACTTAAGAAAACATGCAGCAGCAGTCAGACTATGGAGTAGATTCTTGTACTTCTTGTATCTTGCAATAATACTAAATCAACTCAAACCTCAGCTGYAGGAAAAAAACCTTCAGAATATGCCTCCTGCTCCTCTCTTCTTGTCTTTCCCTGGTATGTGGTTTGGCTTACCAATAAAGTAACAAGTGTCAGCGTCAGAGGACAAGAGCAGATGGGCTGAGGTTGAACCAAGGGAGCTTTAGATTAGGTAGTAGGAAATTTTTTCCACAAAAAGGATTGTAAAGCATTGTAAGAGACTGCCCAGAGAAGTGATGGAGTATCATCCCTGAAAGCATTCAAAAAATTTTTGGATATGGCACTTTGGGCCTTGGTTTAGTCGTAAAGGTGATGGTGATGGTGAAGAGAGAATACTTTAGCTGTCAGATGACAGTCCAAGAAGCAAATCACTTGTTCTGCTATCTCTTGCAATCACACTGCCTCATGAAACAGAGCACAATATCAATACTGGGATCTAGTTTTGCTTCAGGATATTTGCAAAAGTCTTTGCTCTACTCCATCTTCTTAAAATGCCTCAGAAATTCCATGCATCTCTGCACTGAGATAATATTTAAGCATGTTTATATCAGAASTGGTACCAGACTCACAGAGGTAACTACTATGTTAACCCAAGACTACCTGAGTACTGTTGACATCCAACTGAAATGGTGSAGAATGTCAAAACAGGCCTTTGACAGCTGCCTTTATCACTACACTCAAACTTGATGTGATAGTGATAATTCTGCATTGCTTTTAGGTCTTGTTTATTTGAGGGACATTTGTTTGCATTAATGAAAAAACATGAAAATGGCACAAGCCTKCCAAACTGTAATGTCACTCATGAAGAACTATAATAATGAACACCACAAACCCAATGACTATTAGCTCTGGCCCACTGGCATCAAACACAGCACTTAGCTTAAACAGTGCATCATGAAAACGTTTCACTAAAATACGTATTCATGTGTTCAATTTTTGTAAATAGTATTATAGCAATGAAAAACTGATATACCCCTGAATGAGAATATCCATGTAATTTTACATTATTCCAAAAATCCCTACACTTAAATAACAGTGATTTTTAAAAAACAAACAAAACCAACACTAACAAGGCAACACAGACTCCCCTATATTATTAGGCCCAGATAATTTCAATCTGAGYGCAAACATTAGAATACATACCTTAGCATATATGGCAAAATGCTTACCACAGGAAAATCAGACTTTCTCTCTCAATTTTCCTTTAATTTAAACTAATGAAAAGTGCTTGTCATTGCAAGAAGATTTAAGAAGACTGCCAAGTCACTAGTGTCTTCTGCTCTAACACAACAGTGCAGTCAGGTCAGGGAGCAGAGCACRTTATGATCCACAGTACAAATTAAAGAAACCAATTGTTGGAAGTTTCTACCACAGMATTCTGTGTGTGTTTTAGGAAAGTAATTGAAAGATCAAACAGGAACAGAACTTGCTGCTATGACTCAATAAACACAAATTCTATTCACAGGCTGCTCAAATAACCTCATTTGAATCTCTTTATTATTTCACAAAAGCATTATGTTTTAATTCTGACCAGGCAGATCTTCCTGACATTTTCCTCTTAAGYATTCTGTTTGTACTCTTACTGGCTGTACCAAAGTGTTCTTTATAAGAAAAGGTTAACTTGTCATAAGACAAGTTATCAGTAGCATTTGGTCTCTCAAGAAGATCTTGTTTAGTAACTGCTCTTGAAAAGAATTTATAAAATACAACTTCAGTGTATATCACCATATTCTTTTCATGGCAACACCCCAGGCTGCTTGCATTCTCTAAAAGTATGTAAATAAAAGAAGMACAAGATGTTTAAAAGCCAGTTCATGTAAACAGGTACATCTCAGAGATCAGTGACAGAGGAATACCAAACCCCCTTAGGCCCTTTCTTCTTTTAAAATGAATGGGGTAAAAAGAAGGACTTCTTTTTAAGTGAGAAGAAAGCTTGATCCTATAAACCAAAATCAAAAAGCRTAAGAAAACCACTCTACACGCATAACTTTACCTAATTAGAACTTGCCTTCCCTTACAAGACTTGAAAACCAAGAAAGTGTGTAGTGATGGACACAGCAGGACTATAAATGCTAATTCAGAACTTGTAATTTGGGTATCTTTTCTCAACCTTTAACCCCGTCAGCCAAGCAACCAAACATTCTCTCATTTCTATGTCTTTAACTGATCTTCTGCATTACACTGMATTTCTCTTGTGTTAGCTGGAAATTATTTTCCCATTTTACAAAACAAAAAAAAGGATATTTACAATATCAATTACTTCTTGTAAGCAATGACATATCAGTGATGACAACAGATTCACAAAAGAAAGGCTAGCTGTAAGAGTCTAAGTCTTTCTCATGAGTTAGGCATATGTTAACCACGAAGTCAGGCAGGAAGAATAAATAGGGATGATTTGCCATTARCTCAGTGTACATTAGGTTCCACTAAGTCTCCATGAAGAAGGCTTACATGTAACTCTAGATYTGAGGCAGCTGGAACACCATGCTCCTGTTCTTTAGCCCTCCATCCATACTGCAATGAATACAAATCAAAACCAAGTTTGAACAGTTATGACTTCTTTTTAAAAACTGCTCTGTTACAACAATGCAAAGGGTCATATCAATGCAATTCAGTGACTTATACAACTTTCCTCTGTGAGAATAGTACATGCAATATTACCACTTTTAAACATTCAGAGGCAAGACACAGTCATTAAAAATTATTTTGGTCTTCCATCAAGACCTAAATTGAGTACTAGGGAGAAAACTCAGCTTAGAGTTATAGTAAACAGCTGTACCTTTGTTAAGGCCTTTAGAGGCCTAGAAGAATATGTAGTAATTCCTATGTAACTAAGRTATGTAAATTAAGGTTTTACAACATACCTGGCGTGGAGTTCACGGCTCTTCCCATTTTCTGGAGCATACTCTTCTATAACATCCTGTACAAAAGGTGGCTGCTGCCGTGTTCTGGTGCAAGGCAATGTTCCCACATGGCTAAACATATCACAAGACCTGGGGGGAACTGTCCCCCTCTTCTTCCTGGGGAGAGTGCCATGGATAGAGACGCCTTGAAAGGAGTTTGAGCGATGCTCGATTGGTGAAGGTTTTGTGGTCAAAAGGTCCATGGAAGAAGCTAATGAGAACTGGTGGTTCACTGGGCCGTTTCTGGGAAGACTTGAAAATTTCCCTGCAGCTATCATTTTTGGTTCTGGAAAAACAAAACCAAGATTTCTTAATATGTATCAATCATCAAAGTCCTCCCTTAAAGGAAGTTAAATGGCATGACTAACACAGGTATCTGAAACTGAACTTTTGCTTTGCTTTGAGGCAGTCAGATACCTCAAGACCCAGTCATGCTGCTCCCGGCTGCACGTCAAGCACACACACATACATACAACTTTATACATGTTAAAAGTCACATTAAAAAACAACCAATCTGGACAAACATGCAAGAGCAGGCCCTGAACAATTCTCCATTTTTATCCACAGAGTTCCTCTTTTTTGCCTTTTCACATCCTCTGAAGGCTCTGGTATCAACTTCAAATCACTGACAAGAGAAGTTTTAAGAACATTYTGTCAAAAAAAGGAGACTACAGCTTGGTTTGGAAGAACAGGTTTTTAAACCCAATAGTTGGCACACTGTGAGGAAAAAAACTGTTGCTAAGGAGTCTTGCTCAAGTAATAAATCTAGCAGATAACTGGTCACATATTTCTAACAGGCTGTAAACTAAACGGCTCTACCCARGAGATAAGGCCAGGAGCAGATTACTGGAATTCTCTTCTTCAGCATGCCCAGCCTGCTGGCTCAAATCGTTGTTGACACAGAGATTTGTATAGCTGTCAGTCTCTGGTACAATCAATTACAGTCTGCCATACAGTACAGGTTTTTCTGTTATTGTGAGCAAAAAGCTTTGTGAGACAAACACTTCAGGCTCATTAATGAATTACTGTCCTGTTCCTCAGGACACATTAACAAAATGCTGTCCTGGGCTCAGTAAATAGCGCTGTATTACAGAAGACAGGGTTGTCCTACACAGTTGTATTACCCTGTAAAAAMCACTCTATGGAACATACCACCAGACCCAAAGTACAACCAGTCCTACATTATTTAACCTASGTGTTAGACAACCAGGTGCTTCCCMAAAAAAATGGAATAGCYGTAGAAGTGGCAGAGATTGATATGAAATCAGAAAGCAGAAGTGCTTTTGGAAATAACAGTTATGGACATGGGGAATCTGTTCTGACATGGGTCAAGTTTCATGCTGAAAAATAAGATGAGCACCCTGAAGGCCCAGTAGCCTGGAAGTCAGCTGCTCACAGCTGCACAAGAATTCCTCCTGGTTTGGGGAATGCACAGGTGTTGCAAGGAAAACAGAGGTGCTTCTATAGTCCTCCTGCACCCTTCTCCATCCTCAGCATCACAGCTAACAACAACATGTTTTTGTACTGAAGCTACTGTTACTTCTACTCAGAGATTATCAAAACAGGCTTACTTTTACAGTAACGCTAAAGCTGATCTCAAAGTATGTAAAAATTCTGCCTTTTCCTGTAAGCTGCACTGCAGTGGTTCACTAGCTGGATAAGGTTTTCAGACTTCAACAATAAATCCCTTCCCAATTCTCCCTTATTGAAAGTCCTACAATAAATACCCAGGTTTTTTTTTTTTTTTGTTTACTCTTCAATTTGCCAAGCCTCTGTCAAAGCACAGGTACTATGTACTATAGTAGAAAAGCCTTAGGAAATAGCACTTCTGCCTAGGGAGAATCTGTTTGACTCTGGTCAGGTCCCTTCACAATAAAAGTAGAAAAGAGTTGAGGTGTTAGCAAAGAACTGACACTTTTAGTCACACAGATCCAAATAAAATGCAAAATCCTAAAGAAATCAAAACACACTCTCCCAAAAATTCTGCCATAAATTATCACATGGACCCTTGTGAAATACTAAATCATCTCTCCATTTGTGATGTAGCTGAACTACAATTTCTGCTAGTTTCAGCTAGTACTAAAAATATCATATAATTATTTTSACAATAATTGCTGTAAAGTCAGTTTTGCATCACAATTGTTCAAATAAAAGAACTGGTCCACAGATAGGAAGATCTAAAATGCAAATGCTTACCACAAAGTTGCAACCTCCTCTAGCTAAAGCAAACTGACAGAGCTTGTTCCTTGTAAATTCAGTTTTGTTATTAGAACAGAATGATAAAAATTACCTCCAATTTTTAGAGGTTATTTGGAGGGGGAGGGGAAAGGCTTCTTATAATTCATACAATCATTTGAAACTCCATTTTATGTGTTCACTGTCAAAAGCACCAAACAGTGCTTATGTAGTCTGAAAAAATGGAAGCTAGCTGGCTCATATTKTACAAACACTGTTATCCTCCCTTCAGGGGCGGCTGAGAGTCTGTGCTTAATTATTGTACTTTCTCATTGGTTTATACAAAAACCACCTCCAAACCTCTGAATTYCARCTGGTTTAGTTCAGGTTATCCAGTGAGAGATTTTTCCTTAGCCTTTCCTGCAGGGTTACCACTGCTCAGCTGAAATGGAACATATGATATTATTAACCACTGAAAGCTTCGGTTTAATAGCTGATACCAGGTGAGTCCACAATAGGCTACTATGAGATTAAATTGTCAACCACTTCTTGTCTGAGGATTCATAAAGAAAGCTGAGAATTCACTCTYCTAACCAAATTACAAGATAATTATTATAGCACCCCAGGAGATTTTCAATCCAACAGCCTGAGAGTTTTCTACAAATTAATGACCCCCTGATGTACATCATTTTCCATTTCATCCCTACTCCTAAGGAGCCCTTAAGAATCAAAACCAAACTCCTAGAGTTGTCCTAATCATTGATTCTTTTTAGAAGCATTCACAGTAACATCACGTGACTTACCAATTCAATACCCAATCCTTAAATTCACACCTGAGTTTTGTTTTGAGGTATCAAGGTAGAGTTCCACAGTTAGTACAAAAAATACCCTACRCTCAAGAGCTTGCAATACACTTAGCCACAAATATATATATAGCCACAATATATATATAGAAGCTTTGATAACATTTCCAACAAWCCTCCCTGCAACACYTCTCAAAAAMCCCCTCAAAAAATCCYRACCAAACAACAGGTCTGGTAGCTTCTACCATATCTTTATCTGCTTGCCTGTGTGCTGTTGTACTATATATTCTTCATAAAGATAAACAAAGAACTGAAACAATCAGCTCAGTTACAACAGTCCTGCCAAACTATCCATACAATTTTCTTTATTGAATATAAACACTGGAAAGTTGGAGCCTCTTCTGTTGAAGACTCTGGAATGTCTCAAATACTTTAGTATAKGATTCAAAGAATGCTTGATTTTACCAGATATAGAAACCTGAAAATTTTACTCTCCAAGAGACAGTATGCTTTGAACATGAGCCATTATGSAATCAACAATAAAAATGGTAGAAAAACTGACACAACAATAGCTCAAAAGGAACTGAAATAATACACTAACAGAAATAATACTGTAATAGTACACAATCCTATTTGTCATAATGCAGCMCCTAACAAAACAGAACACTTTGGAAGTAATACAAATATCCCCTAACTAGGTGCAAACAAGATGGACTTATACCAATATAATGTTAAAAAGGGGAAATGAATTTGTATGGGAAATGAAGTGGCACTTCYTTGGAAGAATATATGGGAACAGAATTGTCAGGAGTTACATGGTGAAATCAGAGAACTGGAAAGCCTGAAAGGTTTCCAGGTAACTTCTGACATTCTAGTTTTTTGTTATGAATGAGGGTGAGCAAATACAAATGAAGAGGCCTCTAAAATCAACATGGCATTTAGGGTAACAGTATGAGATCGGACATAGAATAAAATACGTATCTGATGGGCAAACATGCATAAAGTTCTAATCTGCTGGGGTGTGCATCTTTTCACATCACTGCTCAAAAGAAAACGGAACCATRAACAATGAAACAAATAACTTTCACTTCCCTAAAAAAACATACTAAATATCCTTCTGCTTGTGCCATCTTTGGGATGCAAATCCAAATTTTCTGGCTCAGCATGTCCTCATGAAAACTTTCTTATATTCACACAGTCTGAGGAAGTGTTGTGATGGTTCATTCAAAATGACAGAGGTACAAGAGTAAGTGCCCCTTCCATACCACAACATAACACAACCAATGGCAGTGGCTTCTACTTTGTAGTTTCAATATATTGGAGGAAGAGAAGCTAGGGAAAGGGAAATGTTCAGTTCAGCCTCAGAGATGCATGAATGGCATAACAAACAGTCCAAGGCTCTATATTTGCATGCTAATGGAAACCTCATAAAAGGAAATAGAAAAGCAATTTCAGAGTTCCAAATCAAACTCCCAAGCTATCTCAAAGCTCAAAGTTATATCTAAATCAGTTTTGGAAATCACAAAACCCACATGTCTCTTTCTTATTGATCTTCCATTTGGGTGATTCTCCCTYTTAGATCAAAATCTCTGGAGTTATACCTGGTCTTACCATATCACCAATCTTTACCATTATCTATGCTATGAAGCTAAGAGGGCTTGAACATGGTGTAAGCTATTCAGCTGAGTGTTCTCAGGTATCTGAAGGATGGAGTCAGCTTTTGTGAAAACTCTACTTACTTTTGCCACATCAAATCTCCTCACAAATTCCTCCCACCTGCCTCCCATCCCCACCTTCAAATCAGCAATAATAAATTTCAGCAAGTGGAAGATACATCTTCTCCCTGCTAAGTCATATGGCATGTTTGCATGCACTATGCAGATGCACACAGGAAAAAAAAAAAAAAAGAAGAAAGTGAACATCCTTAATGGTGAAGAAAGTCAAGGTCAGGACAAAAAAAGGCAAATGAATTTCCCCAGATTTCTGTGTGTGTGCATAGTAAGAGAAAAAGTGTGACTTAAAAGCCTATAAAGTTAAAATATCATTGGAAGAAATACAGTTAAAACAGTAGCCATCACAGCTTAATCAGGGTGGATTTCTCCCTAGAAGCAGTGTAGTATCCTTCACTATTTTAACACAAAAGAAAGGATTTCTGCTCCCCACAACGGCTTAGAAGCAGCTTTCTGCAACCTGCATTTTCTGCTTTTGTTTAAAAAAACCACAAAACCGATCCAGTAGCTTCCATAGCAAACATATCACAGGACTTTGAGAAGAATATGAAGGTTCAAGAACCTACAGCCTGTTATGA